GCAGAGCACTTCATTAACATGTTTCCCTCATCCTGATATACTAGTAACCATCTTTTAAGGTATTGCAGATGATTTACAAGACAGTAATGACTTAAACCGTGTTTGTGAATGGTCAACTCTAAAACATTATTTTGCGCTCATATGAAGCATCATGTATCAATGCCATCTGTTGAGAAACAGACATAAGAACTGTGGAGTTGGTATTAAATCACACTAATTTCCCGATTTCCTAGCATGATGTCAAAGATAATATAGGCGATAATATAACAGGCGAGATGATGCCAAAAAAAATCTTTTTTTTTCATATTTTTCTGTATAAATCCAACCTCTGCAGCTAATGGACGTGTGCAAAAGTAGTCAGGTTGTATACACAACAACACTTTGAATGGGAACAGCAGCACAATATCTTGCCAGCAGCACAGCAAAACATAAAGCGGCCCTCCAAGCTATTGATGTAAATAAAATGGGCTGAAGTTATTGAGTAATCTTGGATTTGGTGGCAGTGCCACTGCTTATTGCAGAGCTGAAACAAGCGACGGCCTTCAGCGTGCTGCTAAGCAGCTGCTCGTCGAAGATCGGTTGTCTGTTAGCGCGGAAGAACAGCTAGAGCAGGCACCTCAGCCCTATACGGGTACCGCCAAGAAGCTTTTACACCGTTTCATGGCCTACCAGGATCGGCGTACTTGCCTGTTTCAATGGAGCAAACTATTTTTTTGAGTGCCCCACCTTCCGGAGCGACCACTTGTTACTCTTCGTACCTCAAGGTGTACTTATGAAAGAAAAGAAGCTTAATTAATGCCAAATGAAATTTGATAGAGTAATTCACCTGAATATACAACTCCAGCGGAATTGGTCGTGTGTTCGGAAGGAAGTTGAAGGTTGCAGCAGCCGAGCAACCTAGCCAAGCTCCTATATCGCGAGCATTGGTCAGTGAAGACGACAAGCCAACAATTCGAACACTTGTGTCAAGCTGCGCAGACATGTAACGCATACGGGAGCAGATCACTTCAAGAACTGGCTGGAAAAGGAATTTTGGATAAGATATCTTTAGTGTCCAATTTGAGAAAATATCAGTTTTCATACTCCTATGGTTCCTCCAATCATATGCAGATCATCAACGACAAAAAGTTTAACAGCTTGCACATTTTTTCGCTGCTTCCACCGTCGAGACACGTTGTCCCATCTACAAAGATTCATGGAATAAGAGATCATGGTCATGAGCGTGATCAAGAGAACTATTTTTAAATATTTATTTTGATATTCGACGAGCAGATGAGGTAATCCCACCGGTATTTTTTCTAATAGTTTGAAAAAAACGTGTTTTTCCCTTTTGTTTCGAAATCTGCTCTAAAAAGAACTACCTTTCAGGAGTAGCAATAATGAGCTTTCCTCGTTGAAGTAATTTCAGATCCGTTGAGGGTTCGCCTGTCAAAAGAACAACAGTACGTTCTAACGCAATTCCCAAACGATCCTGCCAATCGTTGTACACCTGAAAGACGAATCCAAATAAGAATTACCCCCAGAAAACACAAATCAATACCTTCACAGCCATATCTTCCATAGGAGTAACATATACACATTTTGCATCAGGGCTATTGTCGAAGTGACGAAGAATAGCTAATTCAGCACATGCTGTTTTTCCAGATCCATTCGGAGCAGCAATAAGCACATTGTCGTTACTTTCGTACACAGTTCGGAAAACTGAAAATACATAGAATAATAAAAGCTTGTACCTTTCAAATTATCTACAAACCTTGTGTCTGAATAGGATTGAATATTTTAATATCTCTAGCCTGGAAAACTGCTTCGAAGTGTTTATTGTTCAAAGCTGATATAGGCAAAGGTTGCAAATCGAGCAGTTCGGTTGGAGGTGGGTACTTCTCAGGCAGAACAAGATGACGGAAGGAAATTGGAAGCACCTGATTACAGAAACATTATGCCTATATGATGGTTTTGTTACAAATATATTACTGTTTCTGATCCAAGCCATCGATCCGATACAACTCGTACAAAGTAGAGCGGAGGAAGCGGATCAAACACAGGCACAAACATCTTCACAACGTGTTCCTCAGTGCAAAATTTCCTCAAAAAATACACTAGAGTTGTCAGCAAAGTAGATGTATGAAAATATTTTACGAACAGAAGTTGAGCTGTCCAGCTCAACCAAGAGAGGGAACAACAAATTCTTTACGAAATTGATTTAGCTAGCCCCAAACATCTATAAGTGATACCATCAGGATACATAGATAAGCAGAAGAATGTGGAAAGAAATCTTGAATTACTAAGATAGCTATCTCAGAAAATTGCAAAGTGAGACAGATTGAAGGAAAGACGGAAAAGAGTGTAGAAAATAACAATAGCGTAGCTAGCGTTATGTGACAAACAACTCACTG